CGTTTCAGCCATTGTCCGCTCCGGCCTTATTTAGGTGGTTGGAATGCCGAACCCTTTATTTCGCACACTAGGGGTAGGCTGTTCTAGTTCCACGTGCCATGTTTAATGGATGTCAGTTATCAGTTATCGCCTGTTAATTCCCCTCTTCAAGTTCTCCACGGCCTTAACCGGGTATTGAACTTTTTGGTACTCTTTGGTACCTTCACTGAATCTAACCAACGCCTTTATCCTCTGTGCCATGTGTCCATGAAGACATCTGTGTATGAATTTCTTGGTATTAAATATGGTGACAAAGATGAGGAAAATAGTCCGAATAATCTAAATTGTGTACACAATACCTCATCTCAGAAATATAGACAGATAATAAATTTGGTGAATGAAAGAATTTGATGTCATTCCGTTGGGCATATTGACATAATTTTTAAGATGGAACAAGCTTGGGAAAGAGACATATATTTTCAGAAAACCTCGACGTCTTTGATGACGGTTTAAAATACGCACTGCAGCAACTATTAAGAGAATTTCTTTTGTGGTCGTATTAAATGCAATCAAATTAAAAGGCTGTCAGTGAAAAGATGTTCCCTTATCACGTGTGATTGTTTTTAAAGTGGAATAAAGCTTCAAAGTCAATTAGGAAAATAAGAATGAGAAAAACGAAAATAATGCGAAGTAGACATAAAGTTGTTTGTTATCAGTTGACTGACAAGTATTTCAAAATGGAATCTTTGAAATTTTCAACATCGACAAACAAATCAAGGCAGAAGCATACTTTGAGATTCAATCAATCTAATTAGGAGAGTTATATATATATATATATATATATATATATATATATATATATATATATGTGTGTAATTAATGTATATATATACATATATATGCATGTATATATATGCATGTATATATATATATATATATATATATATATATAGGTAAATTATATGTATGAAATAATAATAGACACACATACATGTTTATAACAATGCATATATAAAGAAACAAGATGAATTATATATACATATAAATATATGCGTGTGTGTATCATTCATAATAACGATTATATATATATATATATATATATATATATATATAGGAATATGTATGTAAACAAATAGATATAAATAAAATATTTATCATTACAATTAATATATAAAGATATAAGTAATTACATAGAAACACACACACACGTGTATATAAAAGGTGCGATGGGTAAATTGTCGCCATTTAATTTTTTTAAATTTTGCGCATGAGTGTTGATTTTTTTTGTCAATGGCACACTATAGTCAGGTGAGTTGGGCACAGTCTGTGAGAAAAAGAGCACCATGACGCAATTTATTACGCCATGAATCTTGAAATGCTTGAAGTACTGATTGGCATTTGCGCCGGATGCTCCAATACGAACATTTCAGGGTGTTTTGGGTGTCAATCTGAAGACAGTGCAGAGGAATTGAAAAGAGTTGGATGAGTCTAATGATGATTACGAAGGTATATGGAATGATCACTAGTGATGGCGACGTTATGCCTCCATTCATCTTTCCAAAGGGCTTCAGAATCATTACTAAAGCCTAGATCAAGAGCCTTGAGGAGTTAGTGCTGCCCTGGCTGAAGAGAGTGGTTGCTAGAAGATCTTATATCTGGCAACAAGATGGCTGTCAATTTCTGCGACTACGTCATCCCTTACATCTGACTACCAAACTCGTCAGACTGCAACCCCCTTGATTATTATGTTTGAGGTCCAGTTGATCATGAGACCAACAAAATTCCTTGTAATACCAAAGATGAACTGAAAGCAAAGATTATGGCAGCATTCACCAACTTAAAAAAGGAGACCGTTCAGAAGAATTGCAGGAGATTCCAAAGTCATCTGGAGGCCGTGGATGAAGCCAATGGTAATTTTATTCAATAAATTTACTCTTTAGCATTTCAAGATATTTTCGTGTAATTTTGGTAAATATATCTGTTAAAATAAGATGTCATTTAGACGACAATTTATCTATCTCACGCTTTATAGAGTACTTATAGATGTACAGGGTGAATAAAAGCTATTAAATTTAATTTTGAAAAATATTATTTTGTGCTAATGAATTTAAAGTTTACGGAAGACGATATTAAATGTACAATCTAAGTGGTACCTCTCGTTTCGACTCAAAACATTGCTCAGTATGAAGATTTTCTTAGCAGAGAATATTATTAAGTCAAGCTTTTCAGCCATCATGGACATTGTAATGTGCTTTGATCTCTTGAACGTCCGTTCAGAGGATCTAAGGGTTTACATCTAGCTCAGTAGCTATCTAAAGCAACAATGTTATGGGTTTCTTTGAAATCCTGGTATTGAAGTCGTTAATGAACTCTCGATTCTTTAAAAGAGATCCCTTGAGCCTAGCTATTGTCGACAATGCGCAGGAAGACACCAGCTAATGTTGGACATACTTTCAAGTTCGATGTGCGTGCAAAGTTAGCCTGTCAATATATGAAGGAATTTTCTATTATATTCCTGGACAATACATTTATATAAAGAGCTTATCGTAAAGACTTTGTTCTTGATTTGATTTCGCGACTGGTAGGAAGTTTTAGTTTAAATTTTATTACAAATTTTGCTACCCTATCC